TCTATTTATTGGGGTTTTTTTTTGGTTTCAGTTTGGGGTTTTTGGTACTGAGAATTTAACCCAGTGGCACTTTACCAATAAGTTATATCCCCATCCTTTCTGAGACAGGGTCACAGGGTCTCACTGTTTCTGAGGGTCTGGCTAAATTGCTGAGGCTGTCCTTGAACTTGGGATCCTCCTGCCTTGGCCTTCCTAGTCGCTGAGATTAGGACCACTCCTAGCTAACAACAATTACCTGAAGGTAGCCTCCATGTTTTTCCCCCCATATTTTCATAGTTTTAAATAGGTAGCCTCACTTGTATCTGCAGACTGACTCATTCCTCTGACTCCAGGCTAAAGTATTCAGGTGCTCTAGTATCTCTTGGAAATTTAATTTGAACATCCGCATGCTAAAATGCCATCCTCCCCCTAGTAGCCCAGTTTTTACAGTAAATGGCAAGTCCAACAACTTTACATTGCTTGGCCAAAATAATAATAATAATAATAATCCTCAACTCTTAATTTCCACATCTAGTTTGTTAACACTAATTCAGAAAATAATCCTCAATCCAGTCACTACTACTATAGTTCAAGACACTGTCATGTCTTTTCTGGATTAAAGTCAGAATAGACTCATTCAATTGCTTCTCTAGTCCAGATTCTAGTAGTGGCATATAAGGCCCTCAGTTATCTAGCTGGCCACTACCTTTCCAACACTATCTTCTCTTCCCCATTGACAGAGCTGTTTCCACCTTGAGGTCTTTGTACTTTATGTTCCTTCTGTGAGGAGCACTGTTTTACCAGATAACTGCATGGTTCAAGTCTTCTTCCAGGTATTTGTTCAAATATTAGGAGACTAGGAGTACAGTTCAGCGTTAGATCGGTAGATCATGTGCTTAGCACATGCAAGGTCCTGGGTCCAATCTCTAGTACTGTGCACCCTCCCCCTCCAGAGGGGGAATAAAAAAAAGTGTCATAAGGTTTTCCCTGTCCATCTTATTTAAAATAGCAATCTCATTAATAGCAGGGGGGTTGGTAGAGTATTTGCCTTGCATACATGAGGCCCAGGGTTCAATCCCTAGCACCAAAAAATGAAAAATTAATAGCAGTCTTTGCTTCCTTACCCTGTTTTCTTTTTCTGCCCTCCTTTTCTTAACAGCACTTTTAACCATCTTATTATTGTGTATTATACCCACCTGTTCCCTTCTCCCTTTCCCTAACCCAAACTGTAGGCAGGGGCATTTTTTTTTTTTTTTTAAGTTTTAGGTGGACACAATATATTTTATTTTTATGTGGTGCTGAGAATGGAACGCAGTGGCTCACGCATGGTAGGGGACGCCGCTACTACTTGAGCCACATCCCCAGCCCAGGAGCATTTTTTTGTTCATTTCTACATCCTTGCTTTGAAGCACAACCTGGCCCACAGTATCTACTTAAATTTTTAGGAATCAGATGTCGGCTAGATGCAGTTGCTTCTATGAGGTTAATGTCACAACATATAGTTTTTCTAATCATCCCCTTCTTTAGGGAAGCAAGGGAGAAAAAATTGAGGTTTCTCAGGAGAAATCAGGTCAGTATTCTGGCTCCCATTTTATAGTTGGGAAAGACTGAGGAAAGAGCCTTTTCTAAGTCACATACTAAGCAAGGTCCACTGGATCTAGGCCCATGTGCTTCCTGGTATACCATACACATCCTCTCTAGCTGGGAAAAACACCAGGAGTAACAACCTAGCTGTCTACCACAACATGCAAGTTTTTTGTTGTTGTTAAATATTTTTTTTAGTTGTAGATGGACACGATATTTTTATTTTAAAATTTATTTTTATATGGTGCTAAGGATCGAACCCTGTGTGCGAGGCAAGTACTCGACCACTGATCTACAGCCCTAGTCCCGCAAGGTTGGTTTTTATTGTATTTTGCATAAAATAAAATTGTTCCAAGAATTTCAAGTGTTCAACTGGGGGTGGGGCTAGTGCTGTAGCTCAGTGGTAGAGCACTTGCCTAGCATGTGTAAGGTACTGGGTTTGATTCTTAGCACCACATAAAAGTAAATAAGATTGTACCAACTTCAACTAAAAATTTTCTTTTAAAGGGCAGCTGTTAATATTTGGGTCAGGGACTGAAATGAATATTTCGTATTAAGAAGAGAAAAATCTTTGTCAACCAAGATGCCTTCTTAGGACTCTTCTGGAAAAAAGTTAATGGGAACTTTTTCATGTCTACATTTTGGTAAGCAATATTGCTAATGGCTATTTTTGCTCTGGGCCTCTTGCTCCATTTTCTAATCTGGAAAGTGCATTTCTAGGCTGGTGTGGAGCATTACCTAGGAGTTGGGTTTCCTGGGTTCCTTTCATCTGTTCTCCTGCAATGCAGGGGGAGCCTAGCCTGGTCTCCAGTTTCTGACTGGAGTTACCACAGGCCAAGAGAACTGCTAACCACTGAGCTGTGAGTAATTTGCTTTTGAGAAGTAAATAGAACCTTGCCAGTAGAAAACCCAGGGGTGTGGCCAGTAGTTCTTTTCCCAGGCTCCTCCCTCCCCACCCCCCAAATGACCTTAACCTTTTTTCATAGCTGGACAGCAGCCAAGTCCAGCCTAAACAATACTCTCAATCTCATTGGTTCTTTTGCCTTTGCAGACACTGCCACCCCCAAGTGGTTAAGGCCTTCCCACCAAGCCTCTCAGTGGAATCAGGGTTTTCTAACTACTGAAAGGCAAACAGGGAAGGGTGAAAAGTGTCCCCAGGGCTTTGAAGCATCAGTGTTTGGCTCCTATGATTAGAGGCAGGGCAGGTTCTTTGACCTGGGGGGATGGGCATCTTCAAGTGATCCAGCAGAAATCAAAAAGGATGTTTTTGGTAAATGTTCAAGTCCTGATTTATGTCACCGCAGTTGTGAGGATAGATGTAAACGTCACCCAGCATCCTTTGAAACTGCCATTGAACACCCTTTTATCTTCAGTGAAAAGAAATAGCATAAAGTTCTGGTAAAGCACCATTGCCAGCAATCAGGCTGGTGTGGTAACTTTTGCCCCATAAGGGCATGGCCTTAGAGCCAATATCCCAAATGAGGGTCGGTTACTCCAATTCCATTCAACAGGGACTGCAGTGAGTTTCGTGTTTGGAAACAGCAGATGGGAGTAGATAGATATATACACTGGGCTGTCCCTCTGCTTGGCCTGGGGCCAAGGTCTTCTCCAGATGTGGAGGCAGGAGCAAGGTAAGACTGGTACAGGATGAGTTGTCAGAATGCTCCTGGAAGGTGAGTACTCCATGAGAACTATCTATATACCTTCAGTGGGAAAAATTACTCCTCATTTGCTTTTTTTGGGGGGGGAGTATTTTTATTTTTTATTTATTTTTTTAGTGCTGGGGATTGAATATAGGGCCTCACATATGCTAGTCAAGCACTCTACCACTGAACCACAACCTGAGTCTTTTTTAATTTTTTGAAACAGAGTCTTCCTAAATTGCCCAGGCTGGCCTCCAACTTATGATCCTCCTGCCTCAGCCACCTTCCTGAGAAGTTGGGATTACAGACATGTACTGCTACGCTACACCTGGCTATAACAGCATTTTTATTAAACACTTTATGCCAAGTACCATAAATCCTCTGAGGTAGATGTTATCATCCCCAGCAGGGAAAGGACTGTGTCTGTTTTGCTTAGAATTACATCCTTATCCCATCACATGGTGTGTACTCCTATATTGTTGAATAAATCAAACAGGTAAGAGAAGAATTTGGCAGAGGTAGGAGATATTTCAACTTGGTGTGCCCTATATAGAATTCTTAGCATAGCCCATAAGGATGCTGAGCTGTGTGGAACAAAGAGAAGTAAAGAAATAAACCTAGGAAAGACTAACAGCACAGAGTGATAGGATCAACCTTGGAAAGCTCAAGCCACCTGAGTTCAAATCCTGAGTGAATTCAGGTCAGTCACTTCCCCCTTTGGTGATCTTAGTTCCCTTGTCCATAAAATATAGATATCAGACTCATGCAACAGAACTTAATTGGAGACACAGTGCACGAGGCACTGTCCTGAGCACTGGGAATACATTGGTGAATAAGACCCCTGCTTTTCTATTACATTCATCTTACATTCCAGAAGAGAGAAACAGATAATGAGAAACAACTAAAATTGACAGACAGGATAGGCAGGTGGTGTTAGGGTGCTATGAAGAAAATGGTGATGAGATAATACAGGGTAGTGGTGGTGGCTGAATAGTCAGAGAAAAACCCCTCTGAGGAGCTGACATGTCCACTGATACCCAAATAAGGTGGACTGGCCAAAAGGTAGTATGGAGGTAGAATGTTTCAAGCAGAGGAAAAGAGCAGAGAGCCAGGCAAGTTCAAGGAACAGAAATGACGTAACCCTCTTGAATTCTAGGATTCTAGAAATAGAGAGTGCATTGCTTGTATTGTTTGGGTTAGAGATTTGTATTATGAAAATGTTTCTTGGTGGTATGGGATATTTGTTTCTTAATGGAAGTGGCTCGGGCTGTCTCACTTACTTTCCACAGTTCTGGTAGCTCAGCTGTCTCCTGTGTTGATGCAGGCTCCATTTTAGCTGCATACTCTAAAAGCAGCCTGAAATGAGCTGCCTCCTTCACCTCTCTCATTCAGCACACAGTCTTGGAGCCCCAGAACCCCCTCCCATTCCACCTAGCTGCCTTACAATCTGAAGAGCCAGGGAGCCAGGCTTTGAGAGCACAAGATTCAGCTTCCTTGTTTTCCTGTCGGAGCAGGAGCCAGAACATAAAACAGGAAACAGAGCGGAAGAGGAGGGGGTTGGGCAGCAGAGAAGGTAGGGCAAGAGAAATTGCAGGAAAGTAGAGGTAAAGGTCTGGACAAAGTTCTACCTCTAAAGGGTGACAGTTGAGCTTTTAGAAAACACTCTGACTTGTCACAAGAGAGCCCTTGCCTTTTTACAAATAGATTCTGGAGGAAAATTTTATGTGGACAGAGGGAACACTGAGAATGCATGTCTTTTTTCCCTTGTGAATTCACAGAGGAAGGGCAGTGCATTTCTCAGTTTTGTCCTTTCAAACAAGTGTGCTGCTTGGAGCCTCACTGGGCTTCTAGAGATTCAAGTCACAACCTTGGGCTCCAGTCACAAGAGTGCCCCGAGGCTTTGCCATTTTACTCACAAGCCTCTGGAGTGAGAACAAATGAGTGCCACTGAAAAACCTGGGGGAAGGGCCTTCTAAACTCCATTTTTCTCCTTCTTCACCACACAACCACTGAAATGTGCCCTGGACTTTATCCACCTTACGCACAACAAATATCAGGGGCAGTTTAGGTCTTAGGGCCTGAAATGAGTTGTAAAAGAATCAAAAGATAGTCCTTGGTCTCCACAGCACTGATGTGGGCCAGTTTTCTTTGCCTGAAGAGATAGCAACCATCTCTTTGTTCCCACCCACACCAGTGGCTGTTGTATAAGATAAACCCCTCCCTCAGCCCGGCTGTGGCCAGAGGCTAACCCGGACCCTGGCTACGTTTGGAGGGCAGATAACCGAAACCACAGAAGGCTTTGCAAGCCCAAGAAACAAGAAATCCGCCAACGGAGAAGGATTTATTATCTGTTTCCTTTTAGGAGGGAGCAAAGTTGTTCTAACAGTTTCCGTTACAGGGGAACCAACTGGTCGCCCCTCCCTAACAGACGGTTTATTAGAGTTAGCTTCCTTCTTTTCTTTTTTGGCCCCGCTTCCCAGTAGAGAAACGGAGTGAGGGAGGAGAAAGGAGTCCTGGGGGTGCTCTCTGCGGCTTCCTTCACCATGCTCATTGGCCACCTCAGGTGGGGCTTGGGTCTGAAGCAGGACAGAGGTCGCTGGAAGGCAGGAGGGGAAAGTCAGGGGGATCCCCCACTTTCTTCACCCCCAGGACGCAGGGTGCCGCTGCTAGCCACAGAAACCCCAAGAAGGCTTTTCTTTGACTTTTCAGAGAATGTATATTTTGTGCCAGGCCCCGTGCTGAGTCGTCGTTGCCAGACACCAGGGAAAGCACGGCTCAGGCTTCTGCGAAGAGGTCGCGGGGCAGTCCCCAACTACTAGAGCCTTCGCCCACATCGGGAACTCAAGTGAGCGCTCACGGGGTGGAACAGGGACTAGAGCGCAGACGCTGACACTGCAGCCCCGGCACAATGACTGAAGTCGAGGTTTAGTGGGTGGGGAGGAGGCACAGTGCGAGAGAAAACTCCTCAGGTGTCACCACCAAGGCGGGAAGGTGCTACGCCGAGCCGCGCCGGGCTTCGGTCCCCGCCCCGCTCGCCCGGAATCAACATGGCTGCCGCGGAGGGAGGCGGGGCCACTCTGAGTCTGGGCAGGAGCGGGGCGGGGCCGCCGTCGGCGAAGCTAGCGCGCAGGCGCGGGCTGCGCAGGCCCCGGATGGAGGTGCTGTAGATCGTCCCGGAGGGGGAGGACCGGACGGGCGGGCGCGGAGGGTTGGGACGCCATCTCCGGAGCCTTGGAGTTCTGGGGGGAGGGAAGCTGTCAAACCGAGGCCGAGAGAAATGAGGCGGAGGCTGCAGAGAACCGTGGAGCCCCGCCTCTCTGCCATGGCGGCCTCCGGCGCCGCCTCTTCCTTTACGGCCTCCCGCCCTCGCCTGCTTCCGGCCCTGTAGCCAGTCCCGACTCCGGCTCCCTCGGGAGTGTCCCCAGGGCCGAGGCTCGTTTGGGGTGAGGGTCGACGCCCCGACCCCGATAGGACCTGTGTCCAAAAGCAGCAGGCTCCGGACATGGCAAGGCTGGCAAAAGGCAGCTCCTGGCTCGGGACGGCCCGCGAGGCCTTAGGCCTTGAGGATCCTGGTTCTGAGCGACTTTACCCCACCGAGGATGTTAATTCGAGGGCCTCCAGTTAACAGGCTTCCTCAAATTCCCAGATAGGGCCCATCTACCGTAAGCGTACCAGCAAGAGCTCTTATCATTGGAGGAAGTACTGGATTAGGCTTTGGAGACCTGGGTTATGGTCCTGTGTGGGAAAGAGAGTGTACCCTTTGACTGGGGGGTGAGGTTTAAAAAGCAGAGTACACGAGACTTTTTTTAAGTCGTCTCGTGTGCGTCGCTTGGCCCCGGTGAGCCTCAGTTTCCACATCCATAAAATGGCGATGGTAATTATACGGGCCTTTCAGTGTCTAATGAGATCTCTGAAGCCTGTTTATCTCACGGGAAAATAAAAGACTAAAACTATTTGATCCGTAAGTGCCCTGCCAGTCAAGAAAGTCAGTGATTTGGCAAGGAGTTTGTTGGAAAGTGAGGTTGGCAAATAGCTGAGAGGGAGAATTGACTGGCTTTCTTTTGCTTGTTGTATCTGTGAACTAATTGTGGGCTACAAATTTCCTGTGGTCGCAGAGGCCAGAGCTTGACTCTGAAAAGAGAAAAGGAAGAATGCAAGTCTGGTCAAGAGGCAGAGGTGGGTTAAGTGCTTTTTTGTTTGCAACTTCTCTTCTGCGTGTGGGTGGGAAGCCAAGGATGATAAAGTGAACTCGCCCTGGGATAGAGGAGTATCAGTGTGAAGTTGGGTTGTGCCTGTGATTTCTCTCGATTCATCGAGTGAGATGTTAAGGATATTGGGCAGATTCACAAAGTATCGCCGCTCTCTGAGGGTTTCAGAAGCTTACCTTTAAAACTGAATTTTCCTGAGAAAACCGATAGAGTTAGGGGCCCCTCCCTTCCTCCTGGCATGTTGATGGAGTAAGCAGCAAGCGCCCCCTTGTGCCAAGAAAAGAGTATTGTTGCTTTCGGCCAACTTGACTCCCTTTCTGGAGAAATTTTATTTTCTTCTGGCTTCTGTGACTTTGTCATATTACTCTTAACGTGAAGGGAGAAATCCCTGGAGCAGTGATTTTATATCTCGAGTTAGCGAACCAGTGATACTGTGCCCTGCCCCTACTACTGCTCGTTCAGAATACGGGCTTGTATCCTGCTTGTATGCTAGTTCCTGGGAATACAGTTGTGCTGTGAAGTCCTGTCCTCACAAACAGCCTAAACAAGCAGTGTCAGAGGGCAGTGAAGCATGGCATGTCTAGTTGGAATTCCAGAAATAATTGAAACTTACAGGTTTGGTAGGTATTTGCCAGCTAAGAGAAAAAAGAGCCTTCCAGTCTTCCTTGTTAAAATATCTCTGCTTCAATATTTTTTTTTTCTTTTAGCTAGACATAGTTATTCATCCCAAATCAACAGACTTTCTGATGTTCTTGCCCTCTGTTCTGATTTCCCAGGCTGGTGTCTGAAAGTTCTGAAGGAGCTGTTACTACTTTGCTCAAGAAATTGTAAAAAATGTCTTAAAATGCATTCTGTGCCTCACAAAGGGTTTGAATTATTTATACATTGCTACCATTCCAAAAAAGAGATGGGAAATAACAGTTTTCTTCATCTCTAGTAGTAGACTCTGTCTTCGCCCTAAGTTTGTTTTAGCAATGGGAGCTGGCTGAAGTCCTGCTGAGTAGTGGTTTTCTTTTCCTTCTCCACTTAATTTAACAGACCAGCTGAACACACATCAGAGAGCTAAGCTGGCATGTGTAGTTATTATGGCCTTCTAGTATGGTTCTGTGCCCCACTTTTGGGACTCTAGTTTGGGAGCTAGTTTATTATTCTGGGCAAGAGGGAAAGGTCACACATCAAATAATAGCAACCACAACATAGATGTGTGTAGTACTTCACATGGTAGCCCATTACACCATCATGACAGTTTTGTGACAGACAAAAGAGATAGTCAGATCCCATTTTATATACAAAAGAACTGAGTCTTGGTGAATAAATGAGAACTTGCAAGTAACAGGACTTAAACTCAGATCTTTAGTTCCTACATAGGAACACTGAACAGACTACACACACACAAACCCCTGCCACCAGGACTGGGATTTATACTCAGGACCTTGTACATGCTGGCCAAGTGCTCTACTACTGTGCTACGTACATCCCCAGACCTTATTAAAATTTTATTTTGAGACAAGGTCTCAGGGCTGGGGATGTGGCTCAAGCGCTCGCCTGGCATGTGTGCGGCCCGGGTTCGATCCTCAGCACCACATACAAACAAAGATGTTGTGTCCACCAAAACTAAAAGATAAATATTAAAAAAAAAAAAATTATCTCTCTCTCTAAAAAAAAAAAGAGAGAGAGAGAGAGACAAGGTCTTGCTAAATGTCCCAGGCTAACCTCAAACTGGTGATCCTCTTGCCTCAGACTCCTGAGCCACTGGGATTACAGGTATTTGACACTGTGCCCAGCTTCAACAGGCTTTTAAAGGTTTTCTATGAGCTTACTTTTATAGCTTCATATTTATCTTTGAGGAAGTTGTCTGACGAAAATATACTGCTTCAGAGTGATACCCAGTGGTCCTATCTGCCTTTAAGATACTCCTCTCTGGGAAGTTAGGAGGTCACATGTGTCATAGTAATGTTAAAGGGGGAGATTCCTATGAAGAATGTTTTAAACATTTGCTTTTGGCCCATGTATGATGTTTTCTTCCTTGGATTTTGGAGTTTAGAAACCTGAGGAAGCTCAATTCTGGTAGCAACACTCCTGGATTCCTGGTGGTGAGATTATGTGGCCCCTGGATCCATCACGGAAAGAGGTGCTTAGGTTTGCGGTCAGCTGCCGTGTCCTGACTCTGATGCTGCAGGTCAGTCTCTGATTCTTAGTCCTGATCATGCTGTTGTTACATAACTGGACAATGCACAAAGAATAGACCCCTTCTCCTTTCTACCTGCCTGTTGTGCTCCTCCATGTGGTTAGAACCATAGAAACCTAGACTTTATAGCTGAAAAGTCAGCGGGAATCTTATAAATTATTCTAATCCCCTCTTTTACTTATGAAGTAACAGAAGTCCAGAAAGGTTAAATAATTTCCCTAGAATTATAGAGAAGGGCCAGAGTTAGATCTCAGGTTTCCTACCTCTGAAGGTAGTAGTCTGCAATAACCATAATCTTATGATCTTTCTCGACAAAGATACTTTTAAGATTTGAAGCTCAAAGTATTGGACTACCAGAAGAATGAATAGTTTATCAGTCAGTTGAGTAAGAGGGAGGTGGCATTGTGCAAGTCCTGAGACCATCTGTGTATATTCATTTGTCAGTAATGGCTCCTTCTCTCCCCTTAGGAGTCTTCCCCTTGCTACCTCACCCACATATATGTGCCTTTGCCCCTTTTCAACTCCATTTCCCCCAAAGCTGCCCTTGATATAATTTTAATCAAATTTCACATATATATTAACTATTCAGTGCCTAGCACAGTGCCTGGTGCCAGTAGGTCCTTAATATTATGTTTATAAATGAGTGAATCATGTTGAATGTTTCAACTCCTTAGAGATGTAACATTAAATAATTATATATGCCTTTTTATTACCAGCACCATTCTCTGTGAAGCTCCTAGCTGGTTCCTTTGTGGAAACCGTCTTCCCTATCTCTTCCTCCATTATATCAGGCATAGCAGGCTCCATTATATTCCAGGTTTAGTTAAAGTATCTTCAACTTGGAGGCTAGGGCTATTATCTGTGACTGTCATTCCTGTCCCATTTGTTATACTGTTTGAAGTGACCTGATAAAGAATCTAATCAGAAAGAGAAATGGGTTAAAGATGAGGTTATATTCCTATTCCCAGGCTGGGGAGACTGACTCAGTGATGTCCCTGAACCAGCCTTGGTTGAGTTATTGGCAGAACCAATGGAACAATGCTGCAAATCAGCATCTGGGATAGGGAACCAAACAACTGCATTCTAATTCAGATGGTGATTTTGTAAACAGTATGTTTTCTCAAGTTCCTGAAGTTCATTCAACCACCAAAATATTATTAAGTGGGCTGGGGATGTGGCTTAAGCGGTAGCGCGCTCGCCTGGCATGTGTGCGGCCCGGGTTCGATCCTCAGTACCACATACAAACAAAGATGTTGTGTCTGCTGAAAACTAAAAAATAAATATTAAAAATTCTCTCTCTCTTTCTCTCTTTTAAAAAAAAATTATTAAGTACCTATTGTATTTCAAGATCTGTGCTAAGATGTGAGTGTAAAAGTTTTTTTCTTAAATAGCTGACAATCTATTGGGGCAGAAAGACCTTCAGCAATAAATGCTATTTCATTGTTTCTTCCTCTTCCACCCTACTTCCAGATCTAAAGCTCATGCCGTCAGATATTCCTAGTCACTTCATTGTTGCTATCATCTCTGTCAATGACAGTTACTCCTTGAAAGTTTTAGCTCCTGGTTCCCTGTCACTCTCTCTCTGGCATTACTTCTGTTGATGTCTTTGTGGTTTCAATATTAATGAAGATAATATATCCAGTGCTATGGTCCCTTACTTCATTGTCCTGCTCCCTTCTAGTGATCTAGTCCTCACCACTGTCACAGTAATACCCTCTACACCCAACCACTTGCTACCAAATTTCAGTTTTTGTTTTTTTTTTAAAAGAGAGAGAGAGTGAGTTAGTTTTAATATTTATTTTCTCAGTTTTCGGGCGGACACAACATCTTTGTTTGTATGTGGTGCTGAGGGTCGAACCCGGGCCGCACGCATGCCAGGCGAGCGCGCTGCCGCTTGAGCCACATCCCCAGCCCCCCAAATTTCAGTTTTAAGCAGCCTATTCTGTCATCACTATCTCCTATCTTTCCTATTATCCCAACTCTTGTAATTCTTCTCTGAGGATTTTTTTTTTTTTTTTTGATGGGGGGCAGTACTGGGGATTGAACTCAGGGATACTTGGACACTGAACGACATCCCAGCCCTATTTTGTATTTTATTTAGAGTCAGGGTCTCACTGAGTTGCTTAGCGCCTTGCTGTTGCTGAAGCTGGTTTTGAACTCGCAATCCTCCTGCCTCAGCCTCCTGAGCTGCTGGGATTACAGGCGTGCGCCACCATGCCCAGTGAATTAGTCTTTTTTTATATAAGGTTACTAACTCCAGGGAGTCATCAGTGCCATGTAACAATCTTGGTGCATTCCTTCATAAATTTCTGCACATCAGAAACACAAACAAAAAATCTAATGCTGTTTAAATCAAATCTGGAGGTGGGACCCCAAGCATCAACATTCTTTTTTTTTTAAAGAGAGAGAGAGAATTTTTTAATATTTATTTTTTAGTTTTCGGCAGACACAACATCTTTATTTGTATGTGGTGCTGAGGATCGAACCCAGCACCGCATGCATGATGCCAGGTGAGCGCGCTACCACTTGAGCCATATCCCTAGCCCAAGCATCAATATTTTATGAAACTCCCTGGATGATTCCAGTGCTACAGCCTATCTTTGAGAGCCAGGGTCATAGGCAACTTGTCTTCCTTTTTTCAAATCTCTAACAACTTCTCCCCATTACTTTCAAATGATAACTTGCCTTCCTGAATGAAAATTCAGAAAAATTGAAGAGACCTTCCACATGTTTTCACCACTTCCATCAGCCTGCCTAAATCTTCACCTTTGTGCCTTCAGTACTGAAGGTTGGATGAATGGTCTATCCTCTTTTAGGGCTAGCTTTTCTACCTGTCTAGAAGATTCCATCCCCTATTGTCTGCCTAGCCCTTCTTCCCTCTCTTCTACATATTCAATGGTTTTATTTTCACTGGATTATTCCCAATAGCATGCAAATATTTATTTCCAAATCTAAATTCAGCCACCAAAAACTTTTTCTCTTGATCCCACATTGCCATACACCTATTACCCCCTTTCTCTCTTCCCCATCATAGCAAAACACCTTAAAATCATGTTCACTGATTCCAATTTCCCTTTTCCTGGTCTCTATTGAGTTCAGTCAAGACAACTTCTCTCTCTTCAATTCCATTGAAATAGTTCTAGTCAAAATCACCAGAGACCTTCACATTGCTAAACCCAGCTCACCCATATCTGTACCCATTTCACTACTGAAGGTCAGTTTTCAGCCTCCATCTAACTTTGACCTATTGGTAGTGTTTGAGAGTTATTTAACAGAGCTTTTCACTCTCATTCATTCTTCGTTTTTTTTTTTTTTTTAGTACTGGAGATTGAACCCAGGGGTGCTTTACCATGAGCTATATCCCCAGCCATTTTTTGTTTTTCACTTTGAAACAAGATCTTGCTCAGTTGCTTAGGACCTCATTAAGATGTGAGGCTGGGGGCTGGGGCTGTAGCTCAGTGGCAGCGCACTTACCTAGCATGTGTGAGACAATGGGTTCGATCCTTAGCACCACATTAAAAAAATGAAACATGTAAAGGCATGCTGTCCATCTACAACTACAAAAAAAAATAAAAATAAAAAAAGATGCTGAGTAGTCCTCCTGCCTCCACCTCCTGAGCCACAGGGATTATAGGCTTATATCACCATCCCTGGCCATCCCCAGTCCTTTTTTTTTTTTTTTAAGTTGTCAAAAAATACTTCTGTACTTGTTCTTCCCCTCTAGGTGATCTCCTTTAGTCTGTAAACAACCATCCATGCATTTCTGTTGCCAGTTTATCTCTTCAGACCTGATCTCTGTTCTCACCTGCAGATTCTTATATCTCATAACTGATTGACATTTGCACCACAGAATCCAGCTTAGATATGACTAGTCCAAAACCAAGCTCCTGATTTTCTCCCCGCAAGGTTTTTTATTTAGTGGTAATACTTTTTTTTTTCATTTATTCAACTGAAATTTTGGTTCTCCTTCACCCCACAGGCCCTCTTCAATGCCATCATCCCAGATCACCATGCAGAAGCCTTTTCTCCTCCCCGCCTAGCTCCCTCAGGCTCTTTGGACCAGCTTGTGGAAGGTCTTCTGGGTGGCCTCTCTCACTGGGATGCTGAACACTTCTTGTTCATTGCTGAGCATGGATACCTCTATGAGCACAACTTTGCCTTCTTCCCTGGCTTCCCCCTGGTCCTGTTGGTGGGAACTGAACTATTGAGACCCCTAAGGGGGCTCCTGAGCCAGCGAAGTTGCCTGCTTATTTCAGTAGCATCACTCAACTCCTTGTTCTCTGTGCTGGCCACGGTTGCACTTCATGACCTGAGCTGTGTGGTTTTGCGCTGTCCCCGCCAGGCCTTTTATGCAGCATTGCTCTTCTGCCTCAGCCCTGCCAATGTTTTCCTGGTAGCTGGTTACTCAGAAGCTTTGTTTGCCTTCCTGACATTCAGTGCCATGGGGCAGCTAGAGCGGGGACGAAGCTGGACTAGTGGGCTCCTCTTTACTCTTGCTACTGGAGTGCGCTCCAATGGACTGGTCAGTATTGGCTTCCTCCTGCATAATCAGTGTCGAGGCTTTTTCTCTTCTCTTGTGGTGCTGAACCCCCTGAAACAACTCTTGAAGCTGATGGCTTCTGGGTGCCTGTCAGTTCTCACACTCAGCCTTCCCTTTGCCCTCTTTCAGTATTATGCCTACACCCAGTTCTGTCTGCCAGGCTCAGCCCACTCCATTCCTGAACCCTTGGTGCAGTTAGCTGTGGACAAGGGCTACCGGATTGCAGAGGGAAATAAGCCGCCGTGGTGCTCCTGGAAACTTCCTCTAATATATAACTATATCCAGGATGTATACTGGAATGTTGGCTTTCTGAGATACTATGAACTTAGGCAGGTACCCAATTTTCTACTGGCTGCACCAATGGCTATATTAGTTGCCTGGGCAACTTGGACATATGTGACCACCCACCCTTGGCTCTGCCTCACACTTGGGCTTCAAAGGAACAAGAACAATAAGGCCCTAGAGAAGCCTGATCCTGGCTTCCTCAGTCCACGGGTGTTTGTGTACCTGGTTCATGCTACAGTGCTGCTGCTGTTTGGAGGTCTGTGTATGCATGTTCAGGTGAGGTGGATTCCTGTCTGGGATGAGGATGTGAATACAGGCAAAACCCCAAGGACAGGAGAAACAAGTCCCATTTCAGTGACCAGTACCTAATTTATTCAGTTAACCACTATTTGAGAGTTTTGTTTGTACAAGAAAGACCCTGGGTCAGACCTCTGAGGATGAAACATGAGTACAATAAAATTGCTGCCTTAGTGACTCCCATGGTATAAACAGGGAGACAGATAAAATTATAGTACAGTGGGATGGAAGTGGGCTTGCTGTTTTGAGATTTAAAAAAAAAAAAACTTAGATAAATTATTGTGGAACCAAAAAAAAAAGAAGTCGCTAACTCACCAAAGGAGTTGAGAAAGATACCATATTTGAGCAGGGTCCTCAAGAGCAAGAAGGAATTTTTTTTTTTTTTACATAAGAAGCAGAGGAGGAATACTCTATGCACAGGGGAGAGCATGAGAGTTTTGAAAGGATGTGAATTAAGCCGAAATGTAGGAATAAGCACCAAAGATATCCTGGGGACCTTTCCCTCATACATATCCATGTTGGCTTCTGAAGGCACTCTGAGCTCAGACAGGTGCTGTTTTCAGGGGAGATATCTTGTCCAGTGTTTGGGATGATGGCAATACAGAAGGGTATGGAGAGGTTTGATCTCACATCTAATTTTTTGCTCTTGACTGTGGCCCCAGTTTCAACATCCCTTGAGGAAGTCTTTTGTCCCAGTGCTGACCTCTCCTTAGCAGCATCTATCTCTTGAAAACAAGCATTGGTGTTTGTGAAGTTCTCTGAGCTGTGTGGATAAGAGGGGAAATTAGGAAGTAGCATTCTGTGTTTGTGATTAAATTAACTCATAGAGTGAGTGCCAGCCACACTTAGAATTTCCAGGTTGGTTAGGAGACCATTTGAAAATGTGGCTCTGAACTTCTGTAAGGGGGAAGTTCAAATCATAGGATCCCTTGCTCCGCCTTTCCCTCAACTTTGCCACCCTTGTAGGATAAGTGATCAGTACCTAATAAGGGAGCCGCCTCAGATTTTCAAGTCCCAAATTGCTGCCCAAAATATAGATCCACTCCCTGGGCTAAAATTAGACTTCATAGAGTGTTTAATGTTGACTGGCCCATTATTGTGGTAATTAATCTAAAAGTGTGGTTATTTGTAACATGGAGGTTGCCACGCATGTATCACATCTTTTTGTAAGGCAGTTTCTTAGCTCTTACTGCATTTCCAGTGTAATTCATTTCCAGTCACTGGGCCATAGTTTTCCCAGCCTCAGAGAAGCCCCCCAGACTGATCCAGCTAGCATCAGTGACATTCCAATAAATGTGTGGGTTTTCTTATTATTATGATTTCTAGGTTCTCACCAGATTTTTGGGCTCCTCCACTCCTATTGTGTACTGGTTTCCAGCTCACTTGCTTCAGAATCAAGAGCCACTGTTGAGATCCTTAGAGACAGAGCCTTGGATGCCTCTTGCGGAAGACTTCCCACCAAGACAAAAAATACCCAGAAATTCTATCATGGAACTTTTGTACAACTGGAAAACCTGCTCTTCAGTCACTCGATATATCCTAGGTTACTTCCTGACTTACTGGCTCCTGGGACTACTCTTACATTGCAACTTCCTGCCTTGGACATGACCTGGCGTCTCAAAGGACAGACTAGAAGCCAACTTAATTCATCTTCAAAGTTAAAAGACAGACCAGGACCAAGCATGGTGGCACACCCCTGTAATCCCAGCAACTCAGGAGACAAAGGCAGGAGGATCATAAATTTAAGTCCATCCAGATAACTTGTTGAGACCCTGTTTTAAAAAATAAAAATGGCTGGGGATGTAGCTCAGAGGCAGAGCACCACTGGGTTCAATCCTTATTACCAGAAGAAGATAACACACAGGGACTGCCTGCACTGCCCTGGGATCATCCTTGTGGGCATTAGAACCCCTTTGTTTTTGGAGACTGGTGAGCCTTCAAAGAGCCCTTTCTGGTCCTGGCTGGAGCAAATTTTAAGAGTAGTAACTATTTTCACTGTAAGTGGTGATACCTTACTCAAATCTAAAGTACACCTGCATCTGCCTAGTCAACCAACATAGCAGGAGACATTCTTAAACCTGCCACTTTAAATTTAAATGTAGATTATTTAAATGTGCATTTCATCAAAGGCTGTAGCTTACAGTCTGGTGATAGTCCACACAAGATGATGTGGACTGGACAGTGTGGTAGTAATAGGAAAATGAGACCTTTTTCTCTAAATGGGAAGTTTCTGAAGGTGTTTTTTTTAAAAAAAAAAAAAAAACATTATGTCATTTTTGCTATCAAATCTGTGTGCATCTTTTTTTTTTTAAAGAGAGAGAGAATTTTTAAAAATATTTATTTATTTATTTATTTTAGTTATCGGCGGACACAACATCTTTCTTTGTATGTGGTGCTGAGGAGCGAACCCGGGCCGCATGCATGCCGGGCGAGCACGCTACCACTTGAGCCACATCCCCAGCCCTTTTTTTTTTAATGCAATTTTATTTAGTTAGTTTTAAGACTTATTCAAAAGGCCACTGGGGTTGTTATTTCAAAGGATGTTCTTCCCCTCATGACACACATTAGTAAATTTCTTTGTAGGAAGAGCTCAGCTTTCCAGTGATATGGAAGAATCTGATTCAGAAGAGCCTGTCTCCAACTGATTCCTCCAGCTTGGCTGTGGTCAGTTTCTCTCTCTTCAGCCTATGAGGGAAGGAGAGGGATAGGACCCCCAGACTTCAAGGGTTTTACTCTCCCAGTCTCTTGATAAATTCTGCCCTTGTGAAGAATCAGATGGTCCTGCCCATGAGCTTGAAAAAGGTTTCTACCTCATATCTTTGCTGTCTTCTAAATCTTCAAGTAAGATGTTATACCCAGGGTCTCTCTTCAACATACAGATTGTCCTTCAATTTGGAGAGAGAGCAATGACTTCTGCCTCCGTGCTTTTCACACTCTTCTTAATCTTTGGGCTGCTTGATCGTTGACCTCCTCAATGTCATCTTTCAGGACCATTTTGAAGTTGTTTTTTCATTTGTGCATCTGTTTATATGAAAAATCTTACACGGGGCTGGGGATGTGGCTCAAGCGGTAGAGCGCTCGCCTGGCATGCGTGCGGCCCG